CTATCTATCTATCTATCTATCTATCTATCTATCTATCTATCTATCTAATTTAATTGCTGATTGTACTCTATGACTATTATTAAATGTTGAACCTGGTGATTTCTTGATGAAAGTATCTTTTCTTTTTATGTACACTGAGAGCATTTGCACCAAGACAAATTCCTTGTGTGTCCAATCACACTTGGCCAATAAAGAATTCTATTCTATTTCTATTCTATTCTATTCTATTCTATTCTATTCTATTCTATTCCATTCCATTTCCATTCCATTCTTATTGTGCCCTATGACTATTATTAAGTGTTGTACCTGATGATTCTTGACTCTTGACGAAGGTCTCTTTTCCTTTATGTAAACTGGGAGCATTTGCACCAGGACAAATTCCTTGTGTGTCCAATCACACCTGGCCAATAAAAGAATTCTATTCTATTTCTATTCTAATTTCTATTCTATTCTAATTTCTATTCTATTCTATTCTTATTCTATTCTATATTCTATTCTATTTTCTATCCCATTCCATCCATCCCATCCCATTTACATTCTATTCCTATATCCTTCTATTCTATTCTGTTATACCCCATGACTATCATTAAGTGTTGTACCTGATGATTCTTGACTCTTAACGAATGCATCTTTTCTTTTACGTACACTGAGAGCATTTGCACCAAGACAAATTCCTTGTGTGTAAAAATCGCACTTGGCCAATCAAGAATTCGGTTCAGTCCAGTTGAAGGAACTTAGATGATGAGGGGGCTGGAGGCTAAAACATTTGAAGGACGGTTGCAGGAACTGGGCATGATAACAGCCCTCCAGTATCTGAGGGGCTGCCCCAAAGAAGAAGGAGGGGTCAAGCTCTTCTCCAAAACATCTGAAGGCCGGACAAGAAGCAACAGGTGGAAACTAATCAGGGAGAGATTCAACTTGGATCTAAGGAGGAATTATCCTCAGAGTGACCACAATCAGCCAGTGGAACCTCTAGAAGTTGTGGCTGCTCCAACACTGGAAGTTTTTAAGAGGGGGTGGGATATCCATATTGGTCTGAAATGGTGCAGGGTTTCCTGCCTAAGCAGGGGGCTGGACTAGAAGACCTCCGAGGCCCCCATTCCAAGTCTGGGATTCCCTATATTCTAACTTCTCCGTCTCTTCTCTCTTTCCATGGAAAGGATCCGGGCGAAGAAGCAGAGCAAAGAGGCGGACAAACACCAGGAACTGCTCGCAGGTGCCACCCACCTGAAGGCCTTGCCAAGTGAGTACAGCCCTGGCCCCCCCACCCCCTCAGTGGAGGGTGGGACCCCCTCAAGAAGGAGGCAGCTCAGGTCCCAGGGAGGGGGACAGTTGGGGCCCTGCTGGGGACAGGATCACGGAAGAGCAAGCCATTCGGGGCAAGACCCCAGCAGTGGGATCCTACCTACGTGCAAGGATTGCGCACACGCACACCGAATGCGCCAGTGCCGCTTTCCCCGCACCAGCTGAGGCCTGCAGCACCAAACAGTTGAGAGGATGAAAGAAAAATGCGGGTGAGGTGGGAGGGCCGGTCCTCAGTTTTCCTTTCTCCTCTCAGTTGATCCTCGGGAGCTTGTTTTACTACCGGTTTGTGCAAACCGGTCTGAACTGGTAGCATCCCCCCCCCCCCCCGACTGCAAGACACTCTAAGGCGCAAAGAGAAAACACCTCGGCCCTGATGGTGTTCCCTAGCTGGGTCATGAAACGTTTTGCAAGGCAACAATTAAGCTCCGAGAGCAGCAAAGTTCAACCCACCCCGATTCAACCCCGAGCTACAAAGATTCCCTTCTGTTGCTATCCAATCTGTGGTATCCAATCTTTGGGGGCGGCTCTTGATCCGTTGGAAGTCGTGTTTCGGCCTTCGGGGCTTGGAAGGTTTCCACGGCTCCCGACGGTTGTGGGGAATCGTCTTTAATCCCGTTAAGTTGGAAGGTCAGTTCCGGCCAGAGGTGACCGGAGAGGCCCTGCAGCTGCCCAGCCAAGCATTCAATGGGGCCCCCGATCCCTGAAGGGCCTCCCGGGGAGCCAGGTGTGCTGTGGGCGGAAGTGGCTCCAAGGTCCGCAGGGCAAAGCAAGTGGCTGCTTGAGCTGGAGGAGGAGGGGGAATTTGGGGGGGTCCGGCTGGTGACCTGCTGCCTGTCCTGGGAAAAATGCAAACAGGGCTTCTTCTTTCTTTCTCCCTCCCTCCCTCCCTCCCTCCCTCTCTTTCTCTCTCCCTCTCTCTCTGCAGAAGGCCAGATCTTGTAGCACAGTCCTGCCTCCGCTTGGCAGATCAGCCGCCCAGCCAGGGCACCACGGACCTCACCCACTGCAGCTGCTGTTGACTCTCCAGGGCACGTGACTTGGGCACCCTGCCCCCACCCCCCCCCCCCCTCCCAGCCACCTCAGACCTGCGCTGCTTGTCTGCTGGAACTTGGCCTCGGGGGCCCGGCCACCCCCCCCACCCTCTGCTGCCGGGGGATGCAGAGTTTGGACTCCTCGGGGGCTCCTTGCGTGAAGGGAGAACCGGCTGGGAAAGGGGTGCTGTGGGCTGAGCCGAGCTCCTGGCACCCCCGTCTCTGCCGCGAAGCTGACGCTCAGCCGGCTGGAGGAAGCCGGCTCCTCGGGACGAGAGAGACCAGCCTGGCAGGAAACCTTCGCCAGCCTTCGGCCCACGGAGAGAAGGACAGGCTGGCAGAGCAGAGGCAGAGGCAGAGACCCCCCCCCCCATAGGCCAGCTGTGGGGCTCTGTGCGCGCGTGTGTGTGTGTATGTGTGTTTGTGTGCGGATACATCTGTGCTTGGTTTGATTCAGAGAATTAAATTTCAAATGTTGGTTTTTTTTTTTAATGAATCTTGGGCAGTGCAAACCCTTCTTCCGCGGAGAATATGGCTGGGGTCCTTGGCTGGAGGGACCAGTGGTGGCATTCCAAGTTTTACTACTGGACGTTCTGTGGGCGTGGCAGGAGAAGGACGCTGTAAAATCTCCCGTCAAAGCTGGTATTTGCCGATGCTCTGAACTACCCCAAGTTTCCGCTACCGGTTCTCCAGAACTGGTCAGAACCTGCTGAATCCCACCTCTGGGACGGACTCCCTGGCTGGAGAGCTGAAGACCCCCCACCCCCGCCGCCTCTTAGGGCGCCCCCTGCCTGTGACAGCCAACAGCCAAGGAGGGAGGGACGTTGGCCTGTCCTGCAGAGGCAGAGGGAGAGGGCCGACCCTGGCTGCTCGAGGGGACTCTCAGCCCTGAAGGAGCCCTGGCCCCTGGCATGCAGGAAGGGGGGGGTGGCACCTTTCCGGGCACCCGGCTTGCTTTCCCCGCGAAGGAGACCAAAGGCAGACGACTGGAGTTGCGGGGAGCAAAGGGGTGCTTGGGTCTCCTTGCAAAGCAGCACCGGAAAACCCAGGTCCTGACTCCGGCCAGGCGCCGCTTCGGAGGCGGCCCTGGGTGGGTGATCAGTAGGCAGCCTCGTTTCTTTGAGCCTCATCCGAGCAGCCAGAAGCCGGGATGGGGTCGCCGCAGGCTGCTTTGTGGGTTCGCCCCTGGGTGTCGCGGCCCCCAAACCTTCAGGGAATGAGACCCCCAAAGGTGGAGGGAGATCACGCAGGACTCGATGGGGAGAGGAAGAGGGGGAAAGGGGGGGGGGCTCCCCCTCTCTTCCCTGGATCCCTGCCTCAGCGCCCCCAGCCCCGAGGGGGAGCAAGGCAGCTGCCCTGAGTTCGAGAGAGGCTGGGCTGGAGACCATCCCAGCTGGAGGCCCAGGCAGGTTGCAAGAAAGGCTAGTATGGCTGTGTACTTAAGACCTGGCTAAAGAGGCTAGCATCCTAGGGCTGGAAGAGGGGGGGGGTGTCCTTGGAGGTCATCCAGTCCAACCCCTTGCTCAGGACTGGAGTCCTGACACCATCCCAAGTCAAGGCAGTTCTCCAACCTGTGTTTGAAACCCTCCAGCGATGGAGGCTACTTTAAGAGGCTGTGGGAATAAAGGACTTGCTGGCTTGCAGGCGCCCTGCAAGGTAGGAGAGGCTCACAGACACCCGTTCTGACCCAAGCCTCGTTCCAAGCAAACACACCCCAAACAGAGATAAAAGCAAAACCTTTTTAATGCTTCCCTCTGAATTCCGTTTGTTCACAGTAAAACCACTATTAAAAACTAATTGTCCCAGATAAGAACAAGCCTTGCCAAGGTTGTGCAAGGCTCCCAAGAACACTCGATTAAATTGCAAGGAAATATTCAAAACTAAAAGTCTCCAAACACAAACCAGGATAGAACGAACTTCCACGAGACTTGACGTGCAAGAACTTCTTTGCTTCCTGCAAAGAATCGCAACTCTGAGGGTTGGCTTTTATCCCTTAAAGGGGCCATTACCTTGCAGCCTTACTCCCAAGTCGCCCGTGCTGCTGCAGCTGCTCTTTCCTACACGTGCTGGGCACAGGCTCCTCGGGGGACTCTTCCTCACTGCTGCCAGCCTCCACCATCTCCGAAGGCAGCACCCCACTCCCTGATGGTCCTGGCCCCATCCCTGCATCCCACGCAGGACCCTCATCCGAGTCCTCGCTCTCTGAGACCTCAGCTGTCCACACCTGCAGATGAACCACAACTACAGAGGACCTTTTAGGCGGGAGGGTCCAATCTTTGCCATGCTCAGCCGAGGGACGGTAGTGAATGGCCTCCATTGAGGGGGGCCTACGACCACTCGCCGTGGGACAAGAGTTACCCTCATGCCCAAGAAATGGTGGGACAGAAACATTTTCAAAAGGAGGCCAAAGGAGAGACAGAAGGAAACATGGAAAGACAGAAATGGAAATAATTTTAAATGTTGAATGGTGGGATTGTCCCACAGCACGTTGTCCCGGGTGAATTGTCCGTGGCGATTTGTCCCATGATCCCATCCATGGAGCCTGGGTGGGTGGGCACTGCGCAGACCCCTGCAGCTAGTTCAAACTTTTCCGTCGTAATCCTTGCCCACCTTCCCAATGCGCTGGGGCCTTGGGCTCCGAGATGGGGAGGGGGCCGCGGGGAGCAGCCCACAGCTTCTGGCTGTGCCAGGCTAGCCTGGGCTTGTGGCCCAGCCAAGTGGTGTGGCGGGAGCGATGTCAGCCCTTGGCAAAGCCCACAGCCAGAAAACGGGTGGAAATTTCCTGCGACGAAGGCCTGGAGTGCCAGATGGGTGGAGAGGCTAAAAATAAGCCGGGAACAGTCTCTCCTGCCAGGAGCTGCCCTGGCTGGCTTCCCGGACGGCTCACGGCGGCCCTGCCCGCCAACGGGTAGCTACCTGGGAATGTGGCTCGCTTCTGCAATTCAGAGCTGGGGTTCGGGGAGATGATAGGCCCTGGGAGGTGCTGGGGGGGGCGGTCCTGGGGTCCTGCCCAGAGAGGGACAGAGGCTGTGATGCAGAATTGGGACTTCTTGGGCTGTCTGGGCAGAAGGGCAGCTGGGGTCTTGGGCCTGAGGCTTACGCTGCTCGTAAGGGAATTCGGCGATGGGTGAAATACTTCGTCTGCTTTCAAAGGGGGTTCTGTGCTGGGGGGGGGCAGGGGGTTTGTTTAGTCTGGGTGTGTTATGAACCCCGAACCCCCCCCCCCCAAAAAAGTTTGGAAGGTGGGGGAGTCAAGCCATTAAGGCCTCCCCCAACAACTGGCCTGTACCAGAGCATTTAGAACAGGAGACCCCAAACTTGGCCACCTTAAGACTTGTGGACTTCAACTCCCAGAATTCTCCAGCCAGCAGAGCTTAAAAGTCTTAAAAGTGGCCACGTTTTGGGGACCCCTGGCCCAGACCGATGGAGCTGGGAGGTTGGTCTAGGGTTGGGGAGTTGGGAGTCCCCAAGTCTAAACTCGCCAGGTTTGGAGGCCTCCGGCCTAGAATAACGAGAGTTGAAAGGGACCACAGAGGTCTTCTAGTCCAACCCCCTGCTCAAACAGGAGACCCCACGCCATTTCAGAGAAACAGCTGTCAATTTCTTCTTAAAATTTTCCAGGGTTGGCACAACACAACTGGGGGCAAACAGTCCCATCGATTCATTAACCAAAAAAATAAAAAATAAAAAACGGAGTTGGGAGGGACTTGTAAATTCACTCTGAAGACTTCCAACTTCTAAGACTGAAGTTTTTTTGTGAGTGAAGACTTTCCTCTCAGCCTTCTCTTCCAGGTAGCCTTCCCACCTCTTTCCCTCGTCTCGGATTCCTGGGGAGAACATCATTCTGCAGCAAAAATCTCACTCGTTATCAGAAGATAATTATAATTATTAGTACGTCCTGGGATCTCCTGATCCCAAATCTCCTAGGATGTTCCCAGTCGGAGCCTGGAAGTAGAGGCTTAAGCTCGCCGTTTTTAATTTTGCAATTTTTATTCCTGCTCGATTATCTGCCCAAGTCGGGGCAAACCTTGGCCAAAGTCCATTCAGGCCCGGAATTGGCAAAGCGCATCCGACGCCTTGTCTCTTCTTCAGCAGTGAAGTTGGACCTGGCCTGGCCTGAGCCTTGAGCGCTTCGCAGCTTCAGGTCCCTGGAGATAAAAAACCACTCCGCCATCTGCCCTACAGGAAGGCAGATTGAGTAGGACACACACACACCCCTTCCCCAAGGAGAATCGGATACAGGTACCGACTAACAGTTGGAAGGGACCTTGTGGGTCATCTAGTCCAACCCCACCCACCACCCACCCAAGTAGGTGCCCTTCCACCATTTCTGACCGAGGGCCGTCCGGTCTCTTCTTGAAAGCCTCCAGGGATGAAGCTCCCACCACTTCCAAAAGCATCTTCTCTTCCATGGCTCTTGCTTACTTCGATTCCGTTTTCCCCTGGAAACACAATAAAACAAAACAAAACAGTTAGTTCTCGCATCCCCATTCGTTTTCCCTTGTTTCCCCTTCTTCTGTCCATGAGATTTTCTTTTCATGTGCGCTTTTGCTCACTTAATCCACATCACACCCCTGTCCTGGGATCTCTTGGGGGTAAAGAGATCCCAGGACAACAGCAGAATGACAGAGCTGGAAGGGGCCTGCTGGAGGTCCTCTAGTCCAAACCGCAGCTCAGGCAGGAGACTCTAGACCATTTCAGAAAAAAAGTCTGTCCAGTTTCCTCTTAAAAGCCTCCAGTGATGGAGCATTCACACCTTCTGGTGGCAAGCAGTTCCAAGGGTTAATGGTCGTGCCACGAATATTCTAGCTATCAACCCAATAATCTTATTCTGCCTCTTAGCACCATCCCTGGCTGCCCAGTTAGTTGTGGGCAACTGGCCGGCTACTACTGTGAGGGAGGCAAACTCCGTATGGTGTGGCTGCACCCGAGAACCAGGGTCCCTGGCACTGCAGGTAATCCCGGCTCTCAACACACCTGTTGTGTGGTTATGCTTCGTTAAGCTCATATGTGGTTTGTTATGTATTCTTATTTTATGGTCTGGACTTTCTAAATCCCTGCAGGCTTTGGTCAGCTGCCAGCCTCTGGCTGTAATAAAAGAGCTCGCCCACCATTCATTCAGGGCCCCCACCATTAAAAAAAAAACATAGAAGATCTTTCAGGGCATTTTGGGATTGATTTGGTAGTTCCCAAGTTCAGCAAAACTCAGAAGAGGGAGAAAGAGGTGGCTGGCGGGACGAAAGGTTAAATGAGAGTTGCTCCGTGCCAACAATGAGGTGAAGTCACCCTTAAGTCCAGCTGGGCTCCTTGGGCGTGTGCAGGGAGAAATGGGTGTGGGAGAAACAGGGACCTGGTTGGCACCACCCGTTCCCAGTTCTGCAATCAAACGCCAACCGGGTGCAACACGGCTCTGTTGGGCCGATCGATGGTTTACGAGCAGTTCCAGGATCCTTCTCTTCAGCAAAAATGGGCGTTTTG